GTGTGTGTGTGTGTGAGAGAGAGAGAGAGTGTGTGTGTGTGTGTGAGAGAGAGAGAGAGATCAGGATTCAGGAAGACTTCTATGGCTTATTCAGAACTCAAATGTTATACCTATCTATGTAGTACAGTGGAATACAATAAGCTGCAAAATGCAATAAGTTTAGTTTACCACCTTACCCTATTAGTCAATCATTTTTTTAATTTTATTTATATGTTTACTATTATTTTTTATCGTTATACACTCATTGGGGGCTGAGCCCCCCTAAAACGAAAATCTTAGAATCCCCCCTGTATATTATTATAGTGTTACATTTCAATTTCACAAAGAAACGTGGAGCATTTTGTCCATGGAAAAAATAAACGGTGCATATTTAATTTATAATTGGTCTTAAATCTAATTAAGTAACAAAAAAAAATATCGTGATTCGAATCGTGAGTTGAGTGAATAGTTACATCCCTAGATCTAAAAAAAAAATTTGTATAATAAAAAAAAAGCCCTGATCCTGACATGACAAATAGCTCAGTTAAAAAATAGATACATAAACACAAAGTGCAGTCACGGCACCACATCCAGAACACGCGCTGCTTCTCTGGAGCTCTGCTGTGTTGAGTGTAAACACTGCCGCGCTGCTCCACTTCACTCACCCGCGGCTGGTCTTTGGTGATGGGGAAAAACCTGCGGTTGAAGCTGTCTGCGACCAGAACAGCCTGCAGCGGCTGCTCCTCTTCGTCCTTATCCGCCTTTCGAGGGCGACTCGGCTTGCCTGCTTTGCCTGCCATGTTTGAGAGCGGCGTAAGCGGCGCTGCCACGTGACACACGTTACGCTCCTCGGCTGCATTCGGTCTTCTTCGGGTTTTTTCGCGACTGCCGAACACACGTGCGGCGCATTTCCGCCACCTACTGCGATGGAGCGTGGGACAGAAGATTAAAGGACGGGAGCAAAAGAAAATGCTCACATACATACTAAATTATTTTAATCATAATAATCTGTTCCTTTAAAGTAGTCTATTATAGCCTTAAAACTACTGTGGTATTAACTATTTATCTACCACAGACCAGTCTCGACGTTTTTGGTTTTGGGTCATTCCTGGGATTCGGTAATATTTCAGTCCCCCAGACTTTTAAAAGTGCTGGTTCACTGAAATGAGGTGTTAAAAGCGTTTTTACAATACATTGGTATGCCCGTTATAATGAATACAAATAATTATTGCATTTAAATAACTTTCAGCATAAAACAATGTCTTATTTCTAGCTTACGCCAAGCATTTTATCATGTCCCCGAGGCCCTTCTCGGAGTTTGTTAAATTATTAACAAAATGTCTTCTCTACTCTCCTACAGTACATGAGGAGCAGTGGCCATTTTGAGCACAAAACACAACCCCGTCACAAATGTGTCTTTATTTCTCATTGTTTCGGGGTTGAAAACTTGTGACAGGGTTGAGTTATTTACTTCATTTATTAATAATTTTAATCTAAAAAAAAATATAAAACCGTCATGGTTTCAGTAAATATATACTTACCAAAATCATGACCCGTCACAAATGTGTCTTTATTTCTCATTGTTTCGGGGTTGAAAACTTGTGACAGGGTTGAGTTATTTACTTCATTTATTAATAATTTTAATCTAAAAAAAATATAAAACCGTCATGGTTTCAGTAAATATATACTTACCAAAATCATGGCAATTCATATTTTTGTTATGAATAGAATATTTGATGTAATATGTCCACAAGCATCCTCCATCCGAAATTGCACCCACATTAGCAGCAGAAAGATGTTGACCCAGAAAAAAGGGGAGAATATGAGAGAGGAACAAAACTGAAAATTGAAATTGAAGGCAATGGATTCCTTCAAATGTGTTACAGTCCTCAACCCCGTCACATTAATATTTCTGGAAGACAATTAAGAATGAAAACATTTCTTGTTGATTACCATCTGACATGTTAAGGACTAAAACTAAAATAAAATTGTGGTAACAAGTTCTGTGTAAAATCCTTTTTAAACTAATCACATTTTGCCCATTACGGGGTGGAAAATAAAAGGTGTCTAAATCTGAAAAAAATAAATAAACTGAAAATAATAAAAGGTCTTTAATGCCTTGATTTGTTTGAGGTTTGATATGTGCCTATGTGGGGTGTTTAGAAAATGAATATGTAGTTGATAAAAATATTCCAGGTTGAAATGTTACCGAATCCCAGGAATGACCCTTATATATACTGTGCTTTATATGATACAGATTGCTCCAAAGCTTCAAAGCAGACATAAACTGGAAATTAACAGTGTTATGAAATGATTTGAAGCAGCTCTACAGAAGACCATTGTCATTACTCCGCTCAAACGAGATCAATGTTGATTCAACAGTCCTGATGAATGACCATATTTATGATAGCCTAGATTTACATTAGCATAATGATGAAGAAGAGCATTTATACTTTTAAAGGCATTACTGATGCACTAGTGCAGTAAAGAGCTGCACCAACATTCGCTCATCCCTGCAATACATACACATCAGATACTTTGATTTCTTGAGATATGGGCAATACAAACACAGCGTATTAACATACAGAGATCTGCCTCTCATGTCGTTCCTTCACATTTGGTCACATAAAAAAAAACAAAAAACGTTCTAAGTTTTAGCCATTGATAGAAAATTAATAACAAAACAATCAAACAAAAAAAAGTTAAACAAGATGCAAAATGATTTTTCACTTCACGTAAAAAAGAACTTTGGGCAACACTATTTGAAGCCTGTATGTATATTATAAATATTATTATATTATAAAGTTAAAAAATACTTTATAATAGTTGCAGATTTGTTGCTACGTCTCAAATTGGCTGATAGTCATGTGTTTCTCAATGCATTATTTTTTTTAAAGGCATAACAATGAATAGATAAGTATTTTACCCATTCATGGTATCATATGCATTATAAGGTGCATTGCGAAGCATTAAAAGGCATTACAATACTTTAATATTTAAAGGCTTCAAGTAAAGTGCTACTGAATGTTCATTCTAGTTTCTCCTGAGTTACAAAGGAAAGCATTTGAAAGATACAGCACCACTGGATTGTCACAACATCTGTTAACTTCTTATATCTCTAATATTAATAAATGAAATGCATCTCATTATTAAAGCAGGTAAAACACACACACAAGTCTTAGGTGATAGATAAAGATATGTTTATTGACACATATCCATCAGTGCGGCCTCCAACGCAATTTATCGTGCAATACATCCACGACAAAACAGATCATAGCTCCAGTGCTTACTTGACTGAACGTTGGATTATTGAGGAGGTATTCATCATCTCGTTTCATCTGAATATGTACACTGAATGAAAACTATTTTAAGGTGGGGATGTTAACGGTTCTTTTATAGATTCTGAAAATAGCAGGACATGTTGCCTTCATCATGGAGCTTCACGCAGAACTTCTGAACTTTGGTTGACAACATTTAAGACACGCACGCAACAGATGGTCCGCTCTGTTTGAAAACCATTTAGGTTTCGATAAAAAAAAGAAAGAAAAGAAAGTCACACTGTAATAGATGTGTCTGTTTTCAAAGTATCATAATAGTAAAGATTTGTTGGAAAGAAACAGATATGGCAGTAAAATTGTTATCCAAAAGGCACTAGGTGAGCCGAACGCTACAGCTGTTTTAGTCTTCTACAAATAAATTACAATTCAAACAGTGCAGTTACATTTGTTAACTTAATGTTTTCCTTTTTGAAACATTTATCTATGAATCAAATGTAAGGCAACACATTACACACACAAAAAAAGATAAACAAAAGAATATTACAGAAACAATGTACCCAATGAACACACACACACACAAAAACTTTTCAATGGTTTCTATGACATTTCATGTCTCCTGACGCCATTATGATGATATCCTATTGGCTTGGAGCCTCCAAGAAAACTGATAATGATAAAGACAATTATGATGATATTATGCATAGACTGTAATCATTCTCCATGTTCCGCAAAAAAAAACTCAAAAACTCTCAGTACCCAACCCTTCGCCCCAAACCCAATTCATTTTCCATTTAGACTTTGAGGGATTGAATAAGGCAACCAGAGTCCATCAGACGGCGGCATCGAAGTGGGTTTAAGTAGAAACAGTTTGCAAGCTAAAAAAATTGTCCCAAAGACCCCTTTATGGTTAATTCCCCAAATTTCCCCTTTACCATGGTGTCACGCTTTAGTCCCTATCCCACAGGATTCAGAGTCCAAATAGGAACAGCGTATAGTTTCCTTCCCAAGAAAAGATGCTTTCCTCTGGACAGCAGGAGGATAAATGTTATCCCCAGTGTTTCAGGGAAAAACAAGGATGATGCCAAAAAAACGTCTTGTGACCGGTAAATCCTGACCTTCAGCTCCAATTGCTGTCTGTGTTTTTTTAGTTTTTTTTATTCAATTGTCAAATGCAACTTTAAGAGGTTAATTCCAAGGTTGTTGCAGATTTTTATAAAGAGGTTTTTGGAAAGTACAAAATTCCAGTTTGGTTCAGATGGTTAGCTGGAAGAAAGAAGAACAAGAAAATGTCCAGTATTTGTAAGGAAGTTTAAAATTAGGACCAGACTCTTACTAGAAGGTCCATGTTAAACAGAAAATCATAAAGCATCATAATATGTGACCCTGGAGCACAAAACCAGTCTTAAGTGAGATTTGAAAGCTGGATAAATAAGCTTTCCATTGATGTATAGTTAGACAATATTTGGCTGAAATACAACTATTTGAAAATCTGGAATCTGAGGGTGCAAAAAAATCTAAATATTGAGAAAATCATCTTTAAAGTTGTTCAAATGAAGTTCTTAGCAATGCATATTACTAATCAAACATTAAGTTTTGATATATTTACAGTAGGAAATTTACAAAATATCTTCATGGAACATGATGTTTACTTAATATCCTAAAGATTTTTGGCATTAAAAAAAATCGATAATTTTTAAATCGATCCAGGGTGAGGCTATTGCTACAAATATACCCCAGCGACGTAACACTGCTTTTGTGCTCCAGGCTCACATATGATTCAAATGTCACACATCTCAAGTTAGGTAATGTGGGTGAATCTAACAAAAGCATGTCCAGCTCACACTGAACTGCAGAAAACAAACAACCACGACGACAACAAGAGTAGTAACGATTAAAACTGATATTTTACATGAAGGATATGAAGCCTGTATAGGACTATTAAGATATTTTATGCATTATGACACTTTCATGACAATTAAGGACATTTCGCCTTACCACAAAATGCCTGGAAGTTAATTAATAAAAGTTAATCTTACACAGAATATCACCTGAGCGTATTATAACTGCTGGTTATTGAACACTTTATACCAGTACTAATGCAAAGTAGGGGGGGGGGGGGATCCTTTTCAAGATAAATGACCAGCAGACCAGATTAAATGATCTAGTAGTAAATATTATATTCTATGCATATTCTATTGCACTTTTCCACTCATTTAAACATTGTTCTTCAAATGAAGTGTGGTACATGTACTGCCTAACTGCTACAGAAATAGCTGATACTTGACAAGGAATATGTGATAATGTATCTAACACAGCCCTACTGTCAATAATGTCACAAAGCAGAAAAAAAACTAAACTAAAAATATGCTTCATTTTCTTCATGCGATTCACGTTTTGTTACTATCATAGAAAGATGGGGGTAAAAAAAATGCTTTTACTCAATACTCAAGCACTCAATATTTTACTCAAAGATTTCACATTTTGCATTATTCTAATGCAAAAAGTCAAATCTTTTGCATTTCCTTGTCAGAATTAGGGCCAGATTTACTAACAGCTTGCACCAACCCAAACCCTCTTTTGCCAGTATTTATTAAAGACACGCAGTGGAAAATTTGCGATGAAAAGGCATGGACAGTTATTTTTGCGGCTGACCTTTACTGCATGTGCATCTGTAGGAGTTTCCCTTTCAGACGCAAAATTTATAGGAGAGTGTTTAAATGAATCATGCAACAAGATTTACTAAGGTTTGCGGTAGTCAATTTACTAGTATCTGCGCCCCCATTTAATGCTCCAAAAAAGCATGTCTTAACTCATTTTGCGCTTGACATAGCTGTGATCATTGCTAATTTGTGCTGTTCTTGCTAGACGGCATTGATCAGTATGGAAATGATCTGGCTGTGTCTGTGTTCTTTCATTTGCATCGTCAGTAAATCACCAGCAGAACCTCCACTCCCCCCGGTGCGGATTTTTTTTTTTACACCTTGTTTAGTCAATTTGGCCCTTAAAGGCACAATATGTAATTTTCGCCGCTAGAGGGCGTGTATTCAAAATAAACAAATAGACAAAGGCGTAGTTTGATGATGCCGTGACTGAGTGTGGAATCATGGGAGTTGTGGTCTTCATCCCCACAGCCGATGCAATCCAAGGGGACTCGGGCAGAAATCATGTTCATGGATGAGCTAATGATTTATTAACGTAGTAGAATGAAGCAGGCGGAAAGCCGTCGAAGTGAAACGAGGCCGCTGAACGAGCGCGACACACGACTCGAAAGCAGCTGAGCTTTTATTATGCCACAGTCGACCGCTTCCACTGCTTCCGGTCGTGCATATGTGTGAAAAAAAGCAGCGCTGTTTTATCATACACTGTAAAAAATGACTGTGAATTTAACAGTAAAAGACTGTAAAAATGCTACAGTAAAAACCTGTTAAATGGTTAATGGTAAATTCCCCTACTATATACTATATATGTTGTAAACACAGATACTGTCATGCAAGAAAAATTTCAGACTCGTCTGACAATAAAGTGTTATAAAGTAAAGTAAAAGTAAAGTAAAGTATACGGTGAAAAAATGTATTGGACATTACATGTATTGTATTGGACATTAATTTTACTGTAGTATACCGTTTTTGGAAGTGAAAAAGACTGTATAATTTACAGTGAATTACCGTAAATTGACATTCCCAGAATTCCCTGCGTTACATTTCAAATTTGATGAATTTTATTTAACTGTAAATTTAAGTTAAAACCGTAAAATCTAAAATGTTGCTACCGTATTTTTTACGGTAAAATTCAGAATTTTACGGTACTAGATAGATTTGAAAGTTCTGTTATAATGCTACTCTGTGCGGTCGTCACCGCTCTATTAAAACGCACAACATATTAAAGCGTCTTTGGTGTTTTTTTTCCGGAAATCGAGGGGTTATGACATCATTGGCAGGCGACACAATGACACTATAGACACGGTCCGTGTCACTAGTTAAAATTACTTATTTCTCTGGATTTAAACATTCTTCGAAACATTTGGGATAATGCAAGTACACAAGTCAGCAAAATATATAACACTGTTCTAGTGGTTTTTGGATATTTTAATAAAAAAATCTTACATATTGTGCCTCTAAAGTGTTATTTTTGCTAGCACGAGTACAAATAAGATGATTTTGGAGCGTTTGTATTGAATGCCACTTCATTAGCAGGGGGAGCTCAGGAGTGGGTTTCCTAACAGAATTTAAAAAGAAGGGGAGATTAGAAGTTTTAAAGCCAAGCCCGTAGAGAGCCTCGCTCCAGCTGAAGGAAATTCCCTTTTAATTGCCCAGACCTTAAGTTTGTAAAGGAAAGAATCTGCCATTCTAGTAAACCCACAGTAAACAGAAAAGCACACCCCTCCAAAGAACACGTCACCACAGTTAAGCTCAACCGTAAAAACACGGAGCAGTCGACTACACCGTTAGAAATGTAAGGTCTGGAGAGGCTGTGTGATGCTGTCAGCATGTACTGGATGTTGTGTCTGCCGCTTGGAGAAAGGACTGCGCCCTGCTATGAGACAACAGCAAATAAACAGCCCGTCACGAGACCACCCTGCCTCTACAGCCACCGAATTATGGCCTTCAGTATCACAAAGCTTTTTATATCTTGAGCTGCTACAGGTTGAATCTCATAAAAACATGCCCCGGTCACATTTCATCTCTAATAACTAAATTGATATTTTTTATTACGAAATGTTAAATTTTTGGGACCATTGAGGCATTATTTTTATGACAATCAAGCTCTTCCCACACCCTCTCAGCTCTAAATGCATGACGTGATTAAGGCTCAGCGTGGCTCTGTGTGGCTGTAGTTACCTTGGCTTGCCCGACATGTTCTTGGGGTTCCTGCGGAAGGACTGGTTTGCTACGGAGCGAGAGGACATATTGCGAGGAGACGCTCTTGCGAAGGTAGAAGGAGGGGTCTTGGGAATCTTCTTGCCGAGATGACCGATCCATTTCTTCTGCTCGTCTTGGGACAAGGCCAGGAGCAGCATGTCTCTAGCTGATGTCACATCATAATTCACTGAGGGACAAGAACAAAATGATATGTGAGTGTGTTGCTGTGAGATGCTCTGTCATTAGCCATTTTCACACATACAGTCTTTGCTGTAGTCATGAAAAGGATCCATGTGTCGACTTGGACCGATGCAGGGTAGTGATGTCCAGCTTGCACACAATTCGTTCTTTTGAACCAATTATTTTTGGATCTCACTGAAACAGTTCGAGCAGCACAGATCTAGTTTCAGATGCCTGACAGACTCGAAATGAGTCAAAATAGCAGTGCATCTGATCCTTTGATGAATGAACTCATTAGATAGAGCAATAATGGACCACATTCATGAAAGCCATATGTTAGGACTCATTTAACATTGTGTGAAAAAACAGCACATTTAATTTTATAAAGACGACAAGAATGAAATATTTGTATAAAATATTTTGCCATTGTACTAAAAATAATGAAAACATTATCTTTATATAACATTATTTTAAAAAACCAAAGTTAATAATTCAGAATTATTTGTATAGCATCTTTTGTTATTGGTTCAAAGCAAGTTTTTTTTAGTCTTCCTGAAATTTTCTGGGCATCTCAAAAAAACAAGCCAAGTTGTCTAAAGCATGGAAGCATTTCAGATGAAATACTTCAAGAAGGACGTAAGCACATGGCTTCACATGACCAGATGATCATATCACATGCTGGTGTCGTTCAATAAAGCCGAAAGGTGTGTTTTGCAATGACATTTTATGCTATTAATCAAAGACACAATTAAGTACTTATTAAAGTGATTTCAGATCAAACTATAAGTAAATGTAATCCATTTTTGGCACCTTTATGACAATAAAAAACTTCATTTGCAATTTAAGAACATTTCAGTCAAAATATGACATTTTCTGAGAGATTTTCTGCTGGTGGCTCACCTTTGCAAGGGGCGATAACATCCTCCTTCTTGTCCAGATGGTCCTTGTGGCACTTGACGTGGCATCGGCGGCACTCCAGGGCCGGCGGAGGCTTGAAGACGTGCCACAGCGGTTTGGAGCAAGCCTCACAGTTCGAGGGGAAATGATAGAGAGTGGGGATGAACTCATGGCCTTTGTGGGGCAAGCAGTTGGTCTTGTCACCCTGAGGAACACTCTCCACCTCCGCTTCCTTCCTGCACTCACCTTCATTAGCATACAGGATCTAAAGAACAAAAACAGATTTCAATTCGTAAATCTGAGTAAACGGTTAAAGGGTCACGATCTTAATATACATACATAATGCACGATAGCACATTTTTTATCAGTGCTGGGAAGATTGCTAACAAATTGTAGTCTGTTACGGATTCCAAATTACATGACAAAAATTATAGTTAGTAACATAATCCATTACACACTTCAGGTAAGATAATCAGACAGATCAATTTTGACCGAACACGTTTATCACATTGATTTAAACAGCACAATCTTGTACCATATTGATATAAAAACACAAAAAGAAAGAAAGGAAATTCCATTTATTGTTATTAACAACATTAAACATTATATAAGCTAATAATTAATTCAATCATAAAAATGTAAAATTAAATATTTTTAAAATTACAACACTCAAAATAAAACACAAAGAAAAATGATTATACCCGTTTACCTGCATGTCATGTGACCACGTGCATAATATCTAATCTTGTAATCAATAAAAAAAGTAACTGTAGCCGGATTCTGAGTATTTAAAAATATAATATAATCTAATTACAAGTACTTTCATTTTAGAACCTGATTACGGAATCCAGATTACAAGTAATCGGTTAATATCCAGCACTGTTTTTTTCACCACTTTTGGGGATTTTTGAGTTCTTTTGCTGTTTTATATAGAATTATGCTAATTGAATCAACACACACTTTGGGCCTTGTACATGAAACATGAGGACAGCAATTCATTTCTGCGTAAACTGTAACCTCGGTTCCCCAAAATGAGGGAAAAACACATTTGCATCAGCAACTGAATCTATGGGGAAACACCTTTCAACTGTGAAGCCCTGTTGAAAAACGCTACTGTAAATCACTGCTCAATGGCGTTTGAGCGTTCTTAATTTAGTGCTAATTCCTGAGAATCTGACGACTAAGGCCAAAAGGGACGTTCTCTTTCAATTTAGGTTCACTTGACATTGTCCTAATGCACAACAAACAGTGTTACTGTGATATGAATGTACTCATATCCTCAGTCACATCGCCCACCCTTAACACTCTCTGCTCAATGATTTCAAAAGCTAGACATCCATATCTGGACTAGAAAGCGCTTTTCTGATCATAGCTCAGCTTTCCTACAGCAGTTTTTCAAACATGATGCAGCACAGTTTAACTATGTGTATTCTTGCAAACTGCATTGCATACACAAAACTTTATTAGATGGAATCGCTGTGGAAAATAAATCTAAATAACTGACCTGGAATATTCTTGGAATTTCATCTGCCTCCGCTCGATAGACGTCGCCTTGCGTGACAGGACGCACATGGAAAAGTTTGCTGTTTCGAAAAAAAAATACGTTTTAAAGTGGCAAAAGGAAAATCACTGCATTTCATATACAATGTGTGGAAAATAAATCTAAATAACTGACCTGGAATATTCTTGGAATTTCATCTGCCTCCGCTCGATAGACGTCGCCTTGCGTGACAGGACGCACATGGAAAAGTTTGCTGTTTCGGAAAAAAAATACGTTTTAAAGTGGCAAAAGGAAAATCACTGCATTTCATATACAATGAATGAATGAAATGACCAGTTAACGTGTATAGTTTGATCCATGGATAGTTATTCATCAGAATACTTACTCAATGTCTAGTACCATAGAAGGGTTGGACTGCTCCTTGTCTTGCTCATCATTGTAAAAGATAATTTTTTTACTGCTCACCACAACATACTGAAAGAAACAACAACAACACATTTTGAAAAGGGTGGGTCATGCATGTCCAAATGCACAATAATAGTTTAATACACAATTCTTCATGCAAGTCTTACCTGCTTTTTCCAGCCGTATCTTTTAATATTTACCCTATTCGGTATCGCGAGCCAGCCTTCAAGCCTTGATTCTGAAGACAAAATCCATGCATAATAAAGTTCAAGCCAGAATTCGAACACACAATAGAAAAAGACATGCAAGGTCATCTGGAAAAACAAACCAAGGTCGTGACGCAATCCCTAAAAATCAAACAAAGTGTAAACCAGGTACACTTTAAAACAAACTTTGCCTCACGTCACAGGGTTGCAGCTGTAAAATCCCATGCTGCTGAATTCAATATGAAACAGCATTCGCATTTCATTTCTACTTCCATGATGTTATCAATCAAGAAGGATGAAAATGGGATGCTCCACAATCAACAGCAGCTATTAATTACTTGATTAACATGAACAAACAGCCGAAAGTTGTTTCAGTGGTGAAGCAATTTATAATAAAACTATGAATGCGTATCGCATATCAGCAGTATTAGTAACTGGCTCGATGCATTCTATATTCAAGTTAAAGTGACAAGACAAGCCTGTAATTCTGCCCTTCAACCGAACTGCAATTTGCAATTTAATTAAAATGTTACTGGTTTGAAAGCATACTTGGTGGGAAATACAGGTAGGTGATAAAAGAACTGTTTAAAGAATCATGCATGAACTGTGTGACTGTGACTGCTAATGTTATTCATTCTGTAGTGAACATGCTGCTGGTGCAACAGATAAACGTACCGTACATACAGTCGGCATACACTAGTGCCTAACAGAGTGTATTGTTCATGTTAGTTAATAATACATTAACTAATGGAACCTTATTGTAAAGTGCTACCAAATAAACATTACTGCTTCAAAATTCACGTTTGCAGTGTGTAATTTATGTAGTAGAGGAAAATCTCCACGTATTATCAGTTTATTTTTTACCATAGGCCTTGTTTTACTTGAAAATAATACAAAAAAAGCATTATAAAATCCCATAGGAAAATCTAAAATCTCTCCACGGCGAGTTCTTCTTCTTCTGGGTTTTGACGTCATGACCACAGCACTCCGTACGGATCATATTCCTTCATTTGGGAATATTTTATTTTCAATGTCAACAACTCTGATTCAATTATTACAACTTTGGATAAAAGTGTCTTCTAAATGAACCCACCCAGACTCGGTCAATATCTCCACGCACCCCAAACACTGGTGATCAATTAATAAACTTCAACTTTTATTACAGTTATTACACGATCCTCTGATTGCTACGGTGCATAATAGGGCTCCGACTAATAATTACTTTGATAATCAATTAATCTGGCGATAATAATGATATAATGAATGTTCCTATGCAGACTATGCTATTGATTATTTGCAAAATTTGTAAATATAAACATTACATTCCAAAACAAAAAAAACTGCTTGCTTACCGTTTTAAAGCAAAAATGAAAATCACTAAATTAAAAAAAATGATAAAACCAAACCACAGACTAAATGTTAGCTAGTATGATGAACACGCACTCATCGGAACATAGTAATTATTACATTTACACCCATTCACTCTCTTAAAGCCCCTCTAGTGTAACTGCTCGAATAAAAACGTACTGCATGCTCCGTCTGTTTGACACGCATGTGCACCGGCGCTCAGAGTTTACAGACACTTCCAGGACTAGCCTTTATGAAAAATAGAAACAATCTTGTGACTTTCTAACATTTACAGATAAGGATGCAACTGTGAAATGTAAGTTATGCTCGGAGGAAAAATGCTTTAAACAGCACACGTATCTATCAAGCGCCTGTCAGGACAGACTGCATTAAACCATATGCTTATGAGTTAGTTTGAAGCGCTAATATACAGCATCCTCATGTTTAAGACAACTTGGGTCTGGAACTTTTCCCGCAACAGCTCACTTCATGTGCTCCGCTATATATCACATGCATTTTGTCTGTAAAAATGTGTTATTCACTGCTGTAAAATGACGTGACCGGCGGATGCGACTCGAACATCAGGTTCGATCAAGTATTTTTATTATCGATTATAATCAGTGTAATCGATTAGTTGTTGCAGCCCTAGTGCATAATTTGTCATTTGAAGGCAACACCAGCTTCATCACATTCACTTATCAGTATTCTAACCCAGGCCAATGGGCCACACACACACACACACACACTAAAAGAGTGTGACTTTATATAAAACACCTCTGAAAGGTGCTCAGAGCACGGGTTAGTAGTATAAAAACGATTTGAATTAGCTAAATATTTTCCACTAATTTCAGTAGTTTAGTATTGAATCTAAACTCATTCAGCATTGCTCCCTATCATTATAAACACTCTGAGTAGCTTATTTCGGAGGCGTCACCAAAACACAAGATGCGTTCATTCAAATAAAAACAAAATGCCACCCAAGAGCACAATTCAGGCATAACAGGACCCCAATCTTAAAGTTACTCACAGAGGACAAAGAATAGAAGATACAAAGATAAGGAGAGCAAGAACCACCGACTACATATGAGGGAGAACAAGAGAGGAGAGAGGACTTTAAACACAGATAACGGCAGTCGAATCATCCTATCATCACAGCATTAAAAGTGATGATGAGCGCAATTTATGTGCTGATAAAGGAAATCTGGTAACACTTTAGATTAGGGAACACTATTCACTATTAACTAGTTGCTTATTAGCGTGCATATTACTAGCATACTGGCTGTATATTTGTACTAATAAAGCACATATTAATGCCTTATTCTGCATGACCATATTTTAGATCCTAAATATAACTACTACAACAACTAAATCACTTGCTATCAATAAGCAGCAAATTAGGAGTTTATTGAGGGAAAACTCTTAGTTAAAGGAACAGTTCACCCATAAATGAAAATTACCCCATAATTTACTCACCCTCAAGACATAGGTGTATATGACTTTCTTCTTTCAGACGAATACTGTACAATCGGAGTTATATTAAAACCTATCCTGGCTCTTCCAAGCTTTATAATGGCAGTGAGTGGGTGTTATTTTTCAATAGTCCAAAAGAAGTCCAATAAAGTGCATCCATCCATCATAAAAAGTGTCCCACACGGCTCTGTAGGCGTAGTGTAATGTCCGGTGAGAATATGCAACGTTTGTTTACAGGAGCAAAGGAGAGCTGTGTGGGACACTTTTTATGATATATATATATATATATATATATATATACTGTATGTGTGTGTATTATGTATGTGTACACAGTACACATACATATATTATGTAAACAAAAACTTTTATTTTGGATGACGGCACTAAATATATTTTTACATGATAAAAACGCATTCCAAAGAATCCCTTCTCACCAAGTCTATATTTTTTAATGAAACGATGACCAGCAAAGTTACAATTTCTATTTCACACCATTTAATGAGAGCATATAACATCGGCATATTATTTGAAATCTGGAATCAAATTCAGTTTGAATAGTTCTGGATGAGAAAATATGTAAATAGTACAGGTAACACTTTACAATAAACTATGAATTATAGGTAAACTGCCAAAACATTCAATCATTTTCTGCATTTTGTTTGCTCTGCATGATTTTTGTAATGAAATGTTTTTAAATCCATTCCCAGCACACACGCACTTTCAACTGGTTGAACTTGAGACTCATATAACAGAAATGCTCATATTTTGTGAGCGTGTCCTTACCAGCGATGTTACTGTCAAACTCGTCTGGCTGCAGGCTGCTGACGCTGGAGTTGTCCACGCGGAGCTGCAGGTCGTTCAGTTTCTCTCTAAGCTGCTCAATGTCACTCTCCTTACTGTCTAGCTGCATCTGCAACTCATTGCGATACGTGCACTCCTCTGCCAATTGCTGCAAATACAGACAACAACATTAACTAAAATTACTAACACTTGTGCTGTGCTGAAACTCCATTACCTAATTTGGTGTTCCAAGTAAAAAATGCTTGTTAAAATTGCTTGTATAACTCTCATTATGCTGTAGTATTATTTATTTATTTTTTAATTAGCACAGGTTTAGTATTTCTTTTTGGAACTGACTGTTCATAAGCCTCACAGATCTGAGTGTATGCATCTCAATTTATGAGTGAAATTTTTAAGTCATTTAATTTATAAGTTCTTTTTGTAGGCTGGTCTTTTTTGACCCACAACACCCAGGTAACAAGGTGAGAAAACTGTCCGTTTTTTGAGGGAAGTTGTTTAACCCTGTGTTTAACCCAAAGTCGGTCACATTTAGTCCAATGTGATAAAATTACCTGGCATTTTCAGGAAAAAGAAAATTCTCAAATGTGACCCTGGACCACAAAATCAGTCTTAAAGGGTTAGTTCACCCAAAAATGAAAATTAGGCTGTGTTTTACTCACCCCCGAGGCATCCTAGGTGTATATGACTTTCTTCTTTCAGATGAATCCAGCCTGAGATATATTATACTTTGTAACTCTGAAAACGTTAATAAACATTAACTTGCCGCTTGCATCTCGTTCAGCTCCTTCTGGTTCTTGATGGCCATGTGGTTGAACTTCTCCTTCTCCTGGTTGAGCTCCAGCTGAAGCTTGCGGTTCTCCTTCTCTTTCTTGCGCAGGTCAGTGGTGCTGCCTCTCTTCTTCTGGTCCAACTTCATGTCCTTACGGTTCATGATCTCAGCCAGCTTATTCACCGCCTGCAGTCACATGTTGAGGCGTTAAGATGCAGAATGACTACAATGTTTTATCAGAAAGCAAAAGATTTTTGTCTTTTCTGACCTCATGGAACATATTTAAATGATAGGGTTTGGTCTTCACAGGCGCCACACAAATAGTGTTACTCAAGAGACAAAACTTGTAATTGACTTTGCTGTTACTGTTAACAACCAGATATAATAATAAGCATGAAAAAACAAAAATAGCATATATAGTATGTAAAACTTGATTTGAAAAAAAAAAGTTTCCAATTTCACCTTTTGTTAACTGAGGGTTATTATAATTAACTAAAGCCATAAAAAACATTTTCATTACATGACATAAAATTTTATTTAAAAACTTATATTTCAGCTAATTTGCAAGGCAACATTTCTCATTTTCTTTTAGTTTAACTTGATGCACTAAAATAGCTAAAACTGAAATAAATTAGAACCACATTTGCATTTAAAAACAACAACAAAATGACAAAAGCACAAAACAAAATTACTAAAACTTTAAGTAAAATTAACATGAAATCAGAAAATAGAAAAATAAAAGTTAAATCAGTAAAAGACACACGTGACCAAAACAAGCCTTAAATGTGGCTCACATTTAGTCTGTTTGTATTTGACTCTCAGAAGGCGTCCCTATTTCTCATATCTTGTTCACACATTCAAAATTACATTAGCTTTTCACTTTTAGCTATATAAACAAAAACTTTATTTATTTTTTTTCCAAAGGTCTGTGTTTAATGCTGTGTGGTGGTTATACCTGGGTCTTCAGAGTTCTTTCTGTATTAAGGACCTTCTCGTAATTGGCCTTTACTGTGTTTGCCAGCTCTTCCTTCTCTGCAGTATACTCTACAGGAAGACATTAGAAAAGTTATGATAATGCATGAAGATAAAGTGTAGGTTAACCAACTGGAAATAATATTACCTTCTTCTCGAGCTCGGAGTCTCTCGTTCAATTCTGTCTTCTCCTTACTGAGGATCTCCACATCTTTGGTAAGGGTTTTATTGGATTCCTCAAGCTGAGTGAAAATGCATTATAATCTAATTAAAAGCCACTGATATAATTACAGATTTAAAAATAACGACCAGAGCTAAAACAACAGATGGCTTGCACAGGACATAGAGAGCCGATACTGAAAATGTGATGGAACACAAATGGACTGTATACAGTGGTAGGACCCTATGATTTCCGCGGAAAACGCGGACGGAATCGTGGAATCCAGTCATACAAACTGAATTTTTTTGTATAACGCGGAATGTCATGGAATTTGTCAAATTTTGAATGAATAAATCAAAAGTAGGTCAGTTCATTTAAATCAAATGGCAATACGGACTAGTGTCTGTGAATATTAAATACAAAAATATGAATGCTGCACGCTGCATGTTTCATGTACTAGCGCGCGTGATGCTCGCCATGTTTTCAGCGTCTGCCGTCTCATTAAATGAGGGCATAAATACACGAACAACATCTGCTCTGAGAGTCACTTCATGAACATTTGACCGTTTCATTTGAGAATAACTATCGTCATATCATATACTCACACAAACAAACGGCAACCCCGTCAAAATAAAAGTTTGGTTTAACTTGAAAAAATTGTGACTGAAATATATTACTATTGTACAGTATTTCTACGAATAAAATTATTTAAACTTTATTTTTAAGGAATGATCACGCAAATTTTCTTCCATGTTTAAATTTTACCATTAAACCTCTGTTGTGCGGCACTTTGTTTGCCAAAACATATGAAAGGGCTTCTTTAATTTTAATTTGATTAAAAGATCAATTAAATTGATGTTTTATGCAATCATTTGATTGCCAGAAAAATTAACGTACAAAAAATGGGTTAGGGTCTTACATTTTATGGGTAACCCTAACACATAAAACGGGAAAAAATGGAATCCAGAAAAGTTAAAATGAGAGAAGAAAAAAAATGGGATTTGGAAAAAAATAAAAAGGGTTTCATAGGGCCCTACATTGTCCGATTCAGAGAAGGATGCCTGTCCTTCACTAATAACGGCTCAGGTGAGGCACACACCTGTGTGATGGTCGAGTCCTTCTCTGAGATCTCCTGTTTGTACCGTGAGGAGGCTTTCTTGTGCTCCTGAGAGAGTTCAAAATACTGCTCCTCCTGCAGCGCGCGGGCCAACTGCTCCGACTCGGCCTTCGTCATGGTCAGGTCCAACTGAGCAGAGAGTGACTCCCTACAAAAAAAAAAAGGAGACGCAGTTCACAAGATGACATTCAATATAAATTCTGAACAGCATTTCAAAGTCACAAGATACTCTACAGTTCTTTATACATTTTTTTTAAAGCAGCCCTTTTGCAAATGCTACTCATTGATGAAAAGGACTTTTACTTCTCTGAGTACAGGTCTTGGACTTTTCTGAGAGCCTCTTGAGTTTGTCGATTCTTCTCCTCTATCTCCTCCTTTAGCTCCTTCACCTGAGTTTTATAGAGTGTCTGAAAACAAGACAAAAACAGCTTGTAATAAATGACGTGACTGCTAGTGATGTCCCAATGAGGAATTGTTCATATCAGTATATACACTTGCGACAAAACTAGTATTACTGGTAACCCTGAGGGGGGCTTTGGATGCTTTCTGTTTCGCTTTCCAGTTAGCGATTTTGGTGTACAGCAAAAGTCAAAATGAAGACAAAAATACAATTAAAACTAAATTCACTGTTGATGAAAGTGCTTGCATGTTTTATTGCCAAGAAAACCAACACATCCACCTTCTCTGGTTTAAGAAGCAGTCTTTTATTATCAAAAACTTTTACTTTTACTACTTTTAACTGTCCTGAGCACGTTCTCAACAGCAGGCGGCGGCTTCTTCTTGCTTTACGGCAGATCGCAGACTTATAAATGCATTACCGCCACCTATCTCTCAAATGGACCATTGACACTCTATCTACAATCTCAATTAGGAGTGTCAATGGTCCATTTGAGAGATAGATGACGGTAATGCACTTATAAGTCTGCGATCTGCCGTAAAGCAAGAAGAAGCCGCCGCCTGCTGTTGAGAACGTGCTCAGGACAGTTGGACATTGCGGTGAATCAGAGGTAAAAAACTATATAAATACAGTTCAGTTTCTTGCACAGACCGATCGTTTCGTGTCTTTACACATCAATGTATCATCACGAGCCACAGGGTTTAATTTGGTTTTGTGTGTGTATGTTTTTTTGACTCTCAAAGCTGTGATTCCCATTCACTTCCATTATAGGCCCTTTCGCACCGCTTCAGTTCCAGAACTCAACGTACGGTACTAAAGTACTGGGACGATTTTGCGCAAACTATTTCCCAGAACCATTTAAAGGGTTGCATTCGCACCGAGAGTATGTACTAAGAAGTGACATAAGCCGGTCGACAGCGACAGCGGACACTTCAGCGTCCGTCCATCTATCACTGTTCTCCATACTTGCGAAATAAGTTGACATGCTTACAGTATATTTACACGGTGTTTTAAATCATGGCGGGTGAGGGCGTTTTCATACACGTTTGGCCAATCGGTGCGAACATGCCGAAAAGTGGGTAGTTCCACAATTAGTTCTGGTACTATGAAAAGGTTCCTGCGGTGCGAAAGGCCCTATTATGACTGACAGACTGCAATGGTTTGAGTTAAAAATCTTCGTTTGTGTTCTACTGAAGAAACAAAGTCACCTACATCTTGGATGCATTGGGGGTAAGCAGATACACATCTCATTTTCATTTTTAGGTGAACTATCCCTTTAACTATTATAGAAATTAATGCAGTTTTTTAATTCACATTAAAAAAAAAGTCATGGCTTTAGTCAACGTGACTAAATAACCTGCTCAGAAGAAAGAAAGAAGAAAATATCTTTGCATAGCATCTCAAATATCGATCTAGTCATTAAGAGATGCTGAAAAGTCATCAAAAAGATTTGCTACAATTACCTCCCAGAACTGCCTGACACACAATCCTTCCCAAACATAAGGCATCTGACTCTGACTGCTTGCAAACTGTGTGGTTTGTCTGCTCTAAGCTGCAAGAAATGTATTACATTCAAAAAAGAAGCCGCAGTTTCTGTACTGTCTCTACAATTACAATACATTTTAAGGGAAGCGTAACTTTCTCTGCAAACTGTGTTTTTCAGGTTTCCGATTTTCACACAAATTAAATTTGCAACTTGGATGGAAATTTGTCTCCTGTGAACCAAGCCTCGATCCCATTAAACTTTATAGAACTTGATGCATTACGCAAGATGCCTGGAAAAGGCAAGAAAAGCATTGCTAAAGACCTGAGTGTTATCAGTTGTTCAAAGCGCTTAATGTGTTTTTTTCACCATGAGGAAAAGCGCAAGTATGATCTGTGATACTCACTGAGAAATACTGCTCAGCCTCCAGCTGGTCTTGAAGTTCTCTCATCTGACCCTCATTTCCTCGGTACTGCCTGAGAAGATACATTTCTATCAGCAACAGTCAGATTCACACACGATATTCATTCAAACTTCACAACTCAAGCACAATATACAAATGAACATTAAAATGTTCACTTTCTAGGCCCATTATAACAGCATAGAAAACTTGTGATGAATCAAGTAATTATATTTTGATGAAAGATTACAAAGACAAACTTATTTCTAATTTTCAAATAATGTGCATTGCTCACAATACAGTCAGGAACCTGCATGATATCAATAGGGTAATGATTTCATGTTGACTTTAAAGTAAAGGACACAAAGCTAGACATTCTGTCGAAAGGTCTCAGGAGGAGAGGTGAAGGATTAACCGGCTGTGGTTTGGACGGAGGCTGATCCGCAATCCACTCATGTAAATATTGGCAGCCAACAGTTTTGGCCAGGTTTACACATAATCTGCAATAATCGCTATTTCCACAATAGAAAAGCATTTCAGATATTCAGTGATTTAATAGCTCTTGTGAGTAAGGCTCAGAGCCAAGGGAATGATGTTATAAGGTCAGTGTTACAAATGAGGTCCAATGTAACCAATTGAAATGCTTGTACTGAAAAATAGTAGGCCTGCCAATTTAGTGCAATTAATTATGGAAAAATTACCCTGTGCCGCACAGACCTGTACTTCATCTTACACTGCATGCATTTGCTGAAGATCATGATGCAGGATGACAGACTGTGTGATGAAGCCTATGAGAATACAGTTATACGCCTCTAAAATTCAAGATATGAGGGCCAAAAATGCACCTGTATGGGTTTTTGTCTTATATTTATACCATATGATTTAGTTTAGCAATATCACATGAGCAAGAGTGCCGTTTTTCCTGAATATCTGCATGACTGCAAATGATTTATTTCAATAGTTCAATAAACAAGTTAATATGGTGTTACATTTTTCAGTCAGTATTGTCTGTTTTGCTCAGTTTTACCAATGGAAATAGTTCCAATCAAAGCCTCAGCAGAACTGCTGTGCATCTCTCAGCAACACACAGCAGTTTCTCGTTATTGAACAAATCCACGTTTCTGAAAGAATGATTCAGTGACTCGCTCATAAAGAAAGCTACTTTGTTTTGTTTCTGGATGAATCAGCCATTTGAACGAATCGGTTGAATGAATGACTCACTCACTTACGGGCAGTTTTATTTTCATATTTAGAGTATCATTTAATTTTTTTTTAATCATTGCATATTTCAATGTTAATTGTTAAAAGAAAAACAACAGCTATTTATTATCATTATTTATGCAATGCGGAATCAAAATACTTTTTTCTAAAGCTACTTTTTTGTAATGTCTATTATTCAGTGATTTCTCATTTAACACGATAATGACTTTGAATGCTCTCTTTTGGAGTAATTTCTCAACCAAAATTGACGTGCAATTGATTTGCAGTTAATTTAATGAATTAACCGGCACATTATGTAATTAATTAGATTGAAAATTTGAATCCCTTGACAGCCTTAAATATAGAAAAGAAAGGTTAAGGGATGATTATTTGCAACCTGTTTAGAAGCTAGACAATTTGTATTGGTTAGACTTTTATTAAAAAAAAATAAAATAATGGAAGATGAATTTGTACACTATTCATATTTTGAGGGCAGGAGAGAGAATGGAACGTACTTGGTGAGCTGTGCCAGCTGGAACTCAACGGAGCGCTTGTTCTCGAGGGCCGCGTTGATCTCCTGTTTGAGTTGCTTCTCTGATCCTTTCAGACGTTCGGCCTCCATCGTCCAGTTTTTCAGCTCGTTCTGGGCCAGCACGCGCTTCCCGGACTCCTGCTCCAACTGCACCCGCAGCTCCTTCACCTGGTAGGGTGGAGAAAAGAAGAAAGATACTGAACTTGTAATGCTAAAACCCCTTCAGCAGTCTGTAATCTTGTCAAGCCAAGCTTTCTGGCCTTAACTGAGGTGTGTGTGGTTCACCCTCACCTCTTCCTCCAGCCTCTCCTTCTGATTCATCAGCTGCTCCATCTTCTGTACAGACTGCTTGAGATCAAACTCCAGCATGGAGCACTGCTTCTCCACCTCCACCACCCTGCTCTCCGCTCGCATCCGCAGCGTGTTCTCTTCCGACACCTTCTGCTCCACCGCTAGACAGAGGAGAGGTTTTGTTATTTTAAGAGAAAGAATGAACACCAGTTGATCGATATACCTGCATTTCTAAATCATCTGAATCGAGAACTTCTGCTTGCCTTAATGAAGCGTGTTAGAGCCATTTCTGTTGCTCTTTGTATTTTGACACAAGTAATAATTATAATTATATATTTGTCACAATTTTGCCAATTAATCATAGTTTTCAGTCATGTGACTGGCGCAGATTTAGAGGTGAAAACATCCATAGAAGCGCAACACAGACCTGTCAAGTTTCCGTTTCTTTCAAGCCAGTTTTCAAGTTTTGTTTTCAAGCCAAAGAAGAAAATCAAAGATATGTGATCGAACTGCACCTGCAGTATTTCAATCACTAAAAACAGCGAGACATTCTCAAATGCTTACAACACGTATTAAAGCGATAATTCAGCCAAAGCTGTAAGACCTTCGTTCATCTCCAGAACACAAATTAAGACTTTTTGGATATATAGGCAAGCAGACAGGTCCAGAATATGAATGCATCTTAACGCATTAAACCATATGAAGCATTTTCTATATAATGGTTTTCTATGGGAAAACGTGCAATTTAGCATGTCGCGTTCATATTCTGGATGAATCTGTTCACCTGTAAATAGAATGCATCATCAATAAGGTGTGTACTGAATTTGGTCTTTTAATAACACTGACTTCTCTACATTAGGTAGTGGAGGAAAGTGTTGTTTTGCCCTCCGTGCCGACGTTCCTAAAAGGGTGTGACGTCACATGAAAACTATGAATTGCATTTTTGTCACAGGTTATTGTTCTTTAATTATTTTGATATTAAATAGAATTGAATGTTAATGTACTCTTTTTGGTGTGACTCATTTGGACACGCCCTTCTTTGTAGCCTGACTTCCTGTGATTAGATGGCGACCTGTAATGGCAATGTGTGTGTTTGGGGTGTAGCAAATTTCTTCTTTAACCACACTTTAATTCTGTGTGCTTTGAAGAATTAATCACCTGGATCCAGGGAGCCACTAAAAATATATTTGAATGGAATTGAGGATAAGTCACTATAAAGTGGCAGAAGCAAGATTTTATTGAAATGGTCTGAGAATTCTTGCTGAGCACAGAAACACACAAGCTAACGATGATTAATTTCACTTTTCAAGTACTCTTTCTCCCACTCCATTAGTTTCCGTCTCCTATCTAATTTTATAAAATCACTGCTATAATACTATATTTGTAATATTGCATATTTCCTGATTCACACAAGAAGACTTTTTACTGGAGGAAGTATTATTACGGATTTTGGAAGCTTATTTTGTCCAGAAGTGATGGATCAGACTTGAAATGCCTTAATAACGGATTTGTTTCTTACAAACGTGCACCTTTTCACATTTCACAAGATGTTGGACTATAGTGGTGTGGATTATTGTGATGTTTTTATCAGCTGTTTGGACTCTCATTCTGACGGCACCCATTCACTGCAGACGATCCATTGGTGAGCAAGTGATGCAATGCTACATTTCTCCAAAGCTGATGAAGAAACAAACTCATCCTAATCTTGGCTGGCCAGGGGGTGAGCACATTTTTAGCCAATTTTCATTTTTGGGTGAACTGTTCCTGTAAATACGATATCAGCATCAAAGAATTCCTACAGTCTAATTACACCACAGGGAGTACTTTCACTGAACTTTCTGATAGCATCATAATGTCGCTATTAAAAGAAATTCTGCTGTTCCATATGCATAAGTGTGAAATCTTAGAGGCGGTGTCTGGGCACGCAGTTAGATGGTCGCGGCACGTATCGCACGCAAACATACTGTGCATAGCAGCTGACTTGGTCTCTTCAATAGACTCGTATTTGTCTGTGAGTTGAGCCTTCGTGATGCGATGCTCTGTCAACTCCTGATCCAGCCGCTGCTGTAGAGTCTTCAGCTTGTAGTTCAGGTCGATTTCCAGACTGTTCTTCTCCTAAAACAGCAGAGCACATCGAAACACTGGTTACACAATTACTTTACACAGCCACTTTAAAAACACAGTGAATCATAACAGGAGATGGATTGGAAATAACTCGGGTTGGCAAGTGATTAGATACTAGTTTACTACACTATACCAGCTTCATTGTTTTATATTTATGTATTATAGATATACCTTTGAAACAGTGAGACATGTTAAATCCTCACAGTGCTGCCCAGATTTCCATTCAGTGTGCCTTGCTGTAAATGACTAGTTCAGTTCCTGAAATGCTAGTAGGCGCAAACTGATATGTCTTTTTTTTTTTTATTGCATTAACTTTCATACACTGTGAGAAAAATCTGAAAAGAAAAAAAAAAATGTACCTACAGGTGCCTACCTTTACAAGGACTACCCTAAATTGGTCATGTAATTTATGCTCATGTAAACTGACGCAAAATAGTCAAAAAGCAAAAATTCTTAATGGTTCACAATAGACTGCAATTATGTAAAATATACAAAAAAAAAATGCACATTTTTAATATAACAATAAAAATAGTACCTTCTCAAGAACGTTACATCTGTCCTGCACTTGCACTATAAAGTGGCAGAAGCAAGATTTTATTTAAATGGTCTGAGAATTCTTGCTGAGCACAGAAACACACAAGCTAACGATGATTAATTTCACTTTTCAAGTACTCTTTCTCCCACTCCATTAGTTTCCGTCTCCTATCTAATCTTATAAAATCACTGCTATAATACTATATTTGTAATATTGCATATTTCCTGATTCACACAAGAAGACTTTTTACTGGAGGAAGTATTATTACGGATTTTGGAAGCTTATTTTGTCCAGAAGTGATGGATCAGACTTGAAATGCCTTAATAACGGATTTGTTTCTTACAAACGTGCACCTTTTCACATTTCACAAGATGTTGGACTATAGTGGTGTGGATTATTGTGATGTTTTTATCAGCTGTTTGGACTCTCATTCTGACGGCACCCATTCACTGCAGACGATCCATTGGTGAGCAAGTGATGCAATGCTACATTTCTCCAAAGCTGATGAAGAAACAAACTCATCCTAATCTTGGCTGGCCAGGGGGTGAGCACATTTTTAGCCAATTTTCATTTTTGGGTGAACTGTTCCTGTAAATACGATATCAGCATCAAAGAATTCCTACAGTCTAATTACACCACAGGGAGTACTTTCACTGAACTTTCTGATAGCATCATAATGTCGCTATTAAAAGAAATTCTGCTGTTCCATATGCATAAGTGTGACATCTTAGAGGCGGTGTCTGGGCACGCAGTTAGATGGTCGCGGCACGTATCGCACGCAAACATACTGTGCATAGCAGCTGACTTGGTCTCTTCAATAGACTCGTATTTGTCTGTGAGTTGAGCCTTCGTGATGCGATGCTCTGTCAACTCCTGATCCAGCCGCTGCTGTAGAGTCTTCAGCTTGTAGTTCAGGTCGATTTCCAGACTGTTCTTCTCCTAAAACAGCAGAGCACATCGAAACACTGGTTACACAATTACTTTACACAGCCACTTTAAAAACACAGTGAATCATAACAGGAGATGGATTGGAAATAACTCGGGTTGGCAAGTGATTAGATACTAGTTTACTACACTATACCAGCTTCATTGTTTTATATTTATGTATTATAGATATACCTTTGAAACAGTGAGACATGTTAAATCCTCACAGTGCTGCCCAGATTTCCATTCAGTGTGCCTTGCTGTAAATGACTAGTTCAGTTCCTGAAATGCTAGTAGGCGCAAACTGATATGTCTTTTTTTTTTTTATTGCATTAACTTTCATACACTGTGAGAAAAATCTGAAAAGAAAAAAAAAATGTACCTACAGGTGCCTACCTTTACAAGGACTACCCTAAATTGGTAATGTAATTTATGCTCATGTAAACTGACGCAAAATAGTCAAAAAGCAAAAATTCTTAATGGTTCACAATAGACTGCAATTATGTAAAATATACAAAAAAAATATGCACATTTTTAATATAACAATAAAAATAGTACCTTCTCAAGAACGTTACATCTGTCCTGCACTTGTTTCCTCTCTAGCTCCACTTTAGACAGATTGTGCTTCAAGTTCTTGTTGTCCTCCTGTAGACCTGTGATACGAGCTTCAAAGAGACAAAGAACAGACTTACATTACATTGGATTATCACAATATTTTCAATGGGAATGTTTGGAAATTTTAAATTTAGTATTTCCTACTGGCACACTAAAGCAATATATGAAAATGTAAAAAAATGAAATGAAAAACGAATATACATATTTATATACATTTTTTTCACATTTTATGTTGCATCCTAGGGGCCTTTGCTTTTCTAAATAAACGTGCTAGGTGGACATGTGACCGCTGTGCTCGCGTCTTCTGCAGCGTGAATGGCCCCTTATGCTTTTTTTAACCTCAATCTACAATCCATTCCCCAAAACAACAAAGCAAAAAACTGATTTGCAGATTTAAAATAAAACTGAAACATCACATTGACAAGTATTCAGATCCTTTGCTACGGTATTTGAAATTGAGCTCAGGTGCATCCCATTTCTCTGGATCATTTTGAGAGGTTTCTACGCTTTGTTTGGAGTAGATCTGTGGTACATTAGAATGACTGTACATGATTTGGAAATGCACATACCGGTTTATGTAAGGTCTAACAGCTAAAAACGCATAGAGTAAAAAACTAGTCAAATCAAACATGCATGGCTCAGAAACAGGACTGTATCGATCTAAGGTTTCAGATCTGAGGAAGGCTACTAAAGAAAAAAAAATTAATGCAATAGGTCCCGAGAGCACAGGGGCCTTCATAATTCTTAAATAAGGCTCTTCCTAGAGCTGGCCGTCCAGCCAATCTGAGCAATCAGAGAAGAATGGCGTTGGAAAAGAAAGATGAGCAAAAACCTGATCGCCATCAGTGGAGATGCAAGAAATGTCCAGGACAACCATCCCTGCAATTCTTCACCGAACAGGCTTTATGGCAGTGTGGCCACATGAAAGCTTCTCCTCAAATCAGTCAAATCAGGGAAAGCCCTCTCTTACCTTGCAGTTCTCTGATCTCCTCTGAGCCCTGGCTGCAGGTTCGCCTCTCTGTGTCCAGCGTGGTCTGCAACTGGAGCAGCTCTTTTTCCAGCTGTTGTTTGACGTTCTCTGCGGCACGGCTCTTTTCCTGCAGCTCGCGATTCACACTCTCCAGCTGGCTCATGGACTTCGCCATCTCTGTGTGGCTCTTCCTCAAACGCACCACCGTGTCAGACTCGGCCCGCAGAAGATCGTTGGCTTCCCTCAGCTGTGAGAACAAGGTTGTGTGAGATGGTGATTCTTAATTGTCATGTGGCGCATGATACACACACATACATACTCATACACAATGTCAATAATATACAATACATAATATAATATTCGTATGAGTACTTGTATATATTTGAGTACTTATATATTGCATATATTAAATATACATCACCTCCTCGTCTAATTCTTAAAATATTTATAAGAGAAGCTTACTTGGTTCTGCAGCTGGGCGACTTTTTCATTGTTTTGACTCATTTTTCTCGAGTCTTCCAGCTGCTCCTTCAAAGTAGACACTAGAAAAAAGGAAATTAAAAAAAAATTTTTTTTTCAGAAATAAAAGATTTAATATGGGGGGATGCTTCATCTTTTCTTATAACATGTTAACAGAGCTGTGCATGTGTGCATTATAATGACCGACATGGCACTTGGCTGAATGATATTCATGTTATGGCCATGGTCCTGTTTCCATTAGCTCATTTACAGACAGACATAAATTCGAAACACAGGTCTGGCTGCTCTTTGCTGGTTTACTCGGATCTCACAGTGTTCTCATCCGAGAGTGTCAGTACAGTCACAGATCGATAATATTGTCTGTGCTTGTCTGTTCTGATGGTTACTCTGAGCAAAGTTTCATTACCTGCTTTCTAGAATATATATACTGGAATGAGACACTGAATCCTCACCCTCATTCTCCAGATTTTTTCGTTTTTCAGCCTCCTGTTCCGCCTTTCTCTGATGTTCTGTTGCTCGGTGCTGGATCATGATCTTGTCTTTCTCCAGTAAAGACATGTTAGTCTCCATACTCTTCCTTAGGTTACTCTAAATCATGTCAGGACAACAGAATAACAAGAAACTGAGAATTAACATACTAAAAACAACTTAAGTTTTAACAGATGTTTTACTTTAATTACTGTATCTATTAGAGCCTTGTATACAAAATACATACCCTCTGTAATGATTTACATTCATGCTTTAGAGATTAAATGATTTCACTCACCTCCTCGCCTAACTCTTTCATTATCTTGTCTAGCTTTGTATTGGATGCCCTGAGGGGTAAACGAATCAAAGAACAGATTTCAAAGGCCTGATTTTATAGTGAGAAAATGTGGATGGATGGATCTACAGTACATATGGATAGCTGAATGAAGAGTTTGATTTGAGATGGATGATGGATGGATTTTCGAAAGACTGTTGTATTGTGGCTGGATGGGTGAAGGGTTTGGTTTGGGTGGATGTATGGTATATGGATGAGGTGTTTGTTTTGAATATGGTGCTTGGTGATGGATGGATGAATGGTTGAGGTGTTTGATTGGTTTTGGATGGATGGATGACATGTTTGATTGGTTTGGATAGGGTGTTTTTTCATGGATTGATAGATGGATGCATGATATATGGATGAGGTGTTTGGTTTGAACAGAGTGTTTGGTGATGGACGGATAAGTTGTTTGATTGGTTTTGGATGGATGGGGTGTTTGATTGGTTTTGAATAGATGGATGTGGTGTAAGTATGGTTTGGATGGTGTGTTTTCTGATGGATTGTTGGATGGATGAATTGTTTGATTGGTTTTGGATAGATAGATGAATGAGGAGTTTGATTGGTTTTAGATGGATGGATGGATGAGGTGTTTGGTTTTGGATGGATGGATGAATTGTTTGGTTTGGATAGGGTGTTTGGTCATGGACTGATGGATGGATAAGTTGTTTGATTGGTTTTGGATGGATGGGGTGTTTGACTGGTTTTGAATAGATGGATGTGGTGTTAGTATGGTTTGGATGGTGTGTTTGCTGATGGATTGTTGGATGGATGAGGTGTTTGATTGGTGATGGATGGATGGATGAATTGCTTGATTGATTTTGGATGGATGGATGAATTGTTTGATTGTTTTGGAAAGATAGATGAATGAGGAGCTTGATTGGTTTTGGATGGATGGATGGATGAGGTGTTTGGTTTTGGATGGATGGATGAATTGTTTGGTTTGGAATAGGGGGTTTTGTGATGGACTGATGGATGTATGAGGTTTTTGATTGGTTTTTGATATGGTTTTTGGTAATGGATTGATGGATGAATGGTTGAGGTGTTTGATTGGTTTTGGATGGATGGATGACATGTTTGATTGGTTTGGATAGGGTGTTTTTTCATGGATTGATAGATGGATGCATGATATATGGATGAGGTGTTTGGTTTGAACAGAGTGTTTGGTGATGGACGGATAAGTTGTTTGATTGGTTTTGGATGGATGGGGTGTTTGATTGGTTTTGAATAGATGGATGTGGTGTAAGTATGGTTTGGATGGTGTGTTTTCTGATGGATTGTTGGATGGATGAATTGTTTGATTGGTTTTGGATAGATAGATGAATGAGGAGTTTGATTGGTTTTAGATGGATGGATGGATGAGGTGTTTGGTTTTGGATGGATGGATGAATTGTTTGGTTTGGATAGGGTGTTTGGTCATGGACTGATGGATGGATAAGTTGTTTGATTGGTTTTGGATGGATGGGGTGTTTGACTGGTTTTGAATAGATGGATGTGGTGTTAGTATGGTTTGGATGGTGTGTTTTCTGATGGATTGTTGGATGGATGAGGTGTTTGATTGGTGATGGATGGATGGATGAATTGCTTGATTGATTTTGGATGGATGGATGAATTGTTTGATTGTTTTGGAAAGATAGATGAATGAGGAGTTTGATTGGTTTTGGATGGATGGATGGATGAGGTGTTTGGTTTTGGATGGATGGATGAATTGTTTGGTTTGGATAGGGGGTTTTGTGATGGACAGATGAGGTTTTTGATTGGTTTTGGATAGATAGATGAATGAGAAGTTTGATTGGTTTTGGATGGATGGATGGATGAGGTGTTTGGTTTGGATAGGGGGTTTTGTGATGGACTGATGGATGTATGAGGTTTTTGATTGGTTTTTGATATGGTTTTTGGTAATGGATTGATGGATGAGGTGTTTGGTTTGGATAGGGTGTTTGGTGTTGGATGGATGGATGAAGTGTTTGATTGGTTTTGGATATGGTTTTTGATAATGGATTGATGGATGGATGGATGTATGGATGAGGTGTTTGGTTTGGATAGGGTGTAAGGTGATGGATGGACACTGATGGATTGTTGGATGGATGAATTGTTTGATTGGTTTTGGATAGATAGATGAATGAGAAGTTTGATTGGTTTTGGATGGATGGATGGATGAGGTGTTTGGTTTTGGATGGATGGATGAATTGTTTGGTTTGGAATAGGGGGTTTTGTGATGGACTGATGGATGTATGAGGTTTTTGATTGGTTTTTGGTAATGGATTGATGGATGAGGTGTTTGGTTTGGATAGGGTGTTTGGTGTTGGATGGATGGATGAAGTGTTTGATTGTTTTTGGATATGGTTTTTGATAATGGATTGATGGATGGATGGATGTATGGATGAATTGTTTGATTGGATTGGGTAGGGTCTTTGGTGAAGGATTGATGGATGGATGAGGTGTTTGACTGGCTCTGGATGAATGGATGAGGTGTTTGTGTTGGATCTGAATGGATGAGGTGCTTGACTGGTTTTGAAGGACAGATGGATGGTTAGATAAGGTGTTTGGGTGGATGTGCAAACAGACAGATAAACACCTGCACTTCTGTTCCATCTCATCTCTCAGCTGCATCTCACTGTGAAGTTGTTCTTCTAGCTGATAAATTCTCTTCTGAAGATTCTCCAACTAAGAGATAAGAGAAACACAATCAGTCATCCTTGCGGTTTAAGAAACAGACTCAGTATAATGATGCCATGAAACTCTCTATTTTAAAGTCTCCGTTTGGAGTTTCTCACATGACTCTTATCTTCCTTTGTCGAGCTGCGTTTGTCACTTGTCTTTATAGCTGGTTCCCGAGGAAACCTGACAGAGAGTCAATAATTGATTAATTTAACACAAACATTTGGCTCTAAGCTCAGACTGCCTGTTCTGAATCTCAGTACTCACTGGTAGTAGGTAAAGCCCACAAACGGAAGCTGGTTGCCTACAAATGCTTTAGGAATGGGGAATGTCTCCTCCTCCCCTCGATCCTCCTCAATGTCGTCAAAGTTGCTTGTGTCTACATCACTGCTTAACTCCGGCACCACTGGGGCAGCCACTACATGCAACAATACAGTAATGCATTTTAATGAGAATGAACAAATAATGTTTCAAGTATAAAAATGTCAAGGCAGGTACAATTTCAGTTCAGTTGTTGTTGTTGGTATATTGATGTATCTTCTCAGAATTAGATGGACAGACTGCAAAATGAACAGCAAATCACTGAGGACTAAAGAAGCATGTTTGCAACACTTAATTTGTTATTTCACAACAGTGATGAAATTTGCCAAACTAACACAGTACTGTAAAGCTCCTCAAAGACTTGTGACAGCACATCAAACTAAATATAAAGCCACTGGGGTCCGGTGTTGTTTTGGACCCCTTTGACTTGCATTGTTTGGCCAAAAACAGGTTCTTCAAAACTCCATTTTTGTGGAACTCATGAAATGCTCCGATAAATGCCAGTTTTACCAGTATACAGTATACAGTATACAGTATACATATACAGATGTTTTCAAAGACAAAAGACATAAATTTAATTCTAAATTGGATTTCATAATTAAGCTGGCACATTTGAGGTTCAGAAGCTCAGCTCACTCTCTCTGATGTTCTCCCATGCCCACTGGTCATTCTTGAAAAAACTATGTCGCTTGATTTCGTCGACTCCATTGCGTCCTAACCGCACCTCCCTGGTGAGAGGAGATGAGATTAGCACAATGTATTTTGAGTAAACAAGCTTTAGTTCACTTCTTGATATGCAACAGAACAGTGATGAAAACATGTACTCCAGCAAACAGATCCAGAGTGAGTTTTAAATCATAAGCTCCTGAAAAAGTATCGTTAACAGAGAGATGCCCTTATCAAATTATCATCTGATGTTTTCAGAAGGATATGAAAGCACTGATCTTAATTGTAATCTTTATGCTTGACCTAACCCAATTCTAGGATTTGTAGCTATTAATATTCCTTCTTAAGTTGAGTTAAAATGCAGAAATTAGTGGTGAAATGAGAGGTACCAAGTATTTTTAATATTGAGACAAAAGACATAAATTTAATTCTAAATTGGATTTCATAATTAAGCTGGCACATTTGAGGTTCAGAAGCTCAGCTCACTCTCTCTGATGTTCTCCCATGCCCACTGGTCATTCTTGAAAAAACTATGTCGCTTGATTTCGTCGACTCCATTGCGTCCTAACCGCACCTCCCTGGTGAGAGGAGATGAGATTAGCACAATGTATTTTGAGTAAACAAGCTTTAGTTCACTTCTTGATATGCAACAGAACAGTGATGAAAACATGTACTCCAGCAAACAGATCCAGAGTGAGTTTTGAATCATAAGCTCCTGAAAAAGTATCGTTAACAGAGAGATGCCCTTATCAAATTATCATCTGATGTTTTCAGAAGGATATGAAAGCACTGATCTTAATTGTAATCTTTATGCTTGACCTAACCCAATTCTAGGATTTGTAGCTATTAATATTCCTTCTTAAGTTGAGTTAAAATGCAGAAATTAGTGGTGAAATGAGAGGTACCAAGTATTAAAATAACATTCACTTAGAATCACTTAGAAGTGCTCACAATAAGCCTAATTGTTTTGGGGTATTGTTCTGCAGCACAAATGTGAGGGTCAGACTACACACTGGTGTTTAATACTTCAGGTAAGGTGTTTGTTTAAATCCCTAACCTCTAGTGTGTGCAACAGTAGTATAGATGATTGCGTCAGCTGTCAAAACTATAAACTGGTCATTCTACGAATTTTTTCAATGGTTGATATATTAATCTTCTGCAGTTGAAATGTGTTTTTTGTATGCAAACCTGTCGGTGAGGAAAGCACAGATGAGGCTTTTTGCATCCTTTGAGATGTCGCTGTCATCGGGGAAGGTCAGGGCATTCTTGTGATTCATGATCTTGCTGTAGGTGCCCACCAGAGAGTCAGCGTAAAACGGCGTGTCACCTAAGGATACAAATGCATAATCACATAGCAGAACGTGTAAACGGTAAAACACAGTGCTGATTTACTGGTAATCTTCTGACTGTTTGTAAGAAGGAACAGGAAGCACTCTGGTTGCACTGATGCTGAAACTCACCGACGAGCATCTCATACAGGAAGACCCCCACAGACCACCAGTCACACTCTTGGCCATAGTAACCGTCTCCTCCCTGCGACTTCAGTACCTCGGGAGAAATATAGTCGGGAGTTCCTACTGCTGTGTCACATCGTACCATTCCATCCTGAGAGCGGGAAAAACAAAAGAACAGAGTCTAAAGCAGAACTGAAAGAACACTAAATGTGTCTGAAGAAATGGTTCAGGTTTGTTCGGTTTGTCGGCTTTAACAGTGCAAGTGTTTCTCGCATTTGCAACTAAAAATAGTGAACTGTAAAATGTATTTAAGAGCATGCGTGCAAAAAAAGTTAAAAGTCTAAAATAAAGCAGACGTCCTACGTCATCCGCCGAAAAGGCATTCTATTGTGAATGCGCGTACGATAGTTAGCAGTTTATAAAGTTTTAAATATAGATATTTTTCTTACAAAAACGCATCGATTCGCTTCAGGAGGCCTTTATTCACCCCCCCCCCGAAACCGTGTGGGACACTGTTTATTATGGATGGATGTGCTTTATTGGACTTCTTTTGGACTACTGAAAAATAACACCCATTCACTGCTATTATAAAGCTTGGAAGAGCAAGAATATTTTTTTTATGTAACTCCGATTGGATTACACCTGGGATGGCTTGAGGGTGAGTAAATCATGGGCTAATTTTCAGTTTTGGGTGAACTATCCCTTTAAATCAAACATTGCACATGTTACAAGCGTGTAGCATCTTTTTTGGATCGATTCATGATTAAAATGCAGTGGTTGCCTCTAATTTCAAATGGCTATGAAAAATCAAGATCGGAGCATCAGTGAAGAACATGCAATGTTATTTTACATGTGATTATTCAATACCTGAACACCCACAAACATAAAAACCTAAAGCATCGTTTCATTTGTATCTTTCTATTGTTCTATATATTTAATTGTGCTCTGGCTTGTAATTTGTTCATTTGTTCTTATTTACTGACTGTTCACTTGTCTTTAATAATGTTTAAACTTTATATTTGTTAAGCTTGTAATTTTTGCTGTGTATTTTTTATTTTTTGGTATTTTTTGGTATCTAAAATTTTGATGTCACATAAGCTTATTTATTTGAATACAAGCTAACATGGGTCAAAAAACAATGATAACAGCAACTACTTTATTTGTATTTTTTGCCCTGCTATTAATTCAACAGAATGTATGCGAATACTACCAATATGGCGGCATAAATATCACTTTTATGACGTCATGAGCAATCCAGTTCTCGATTACAGATCAGTGGTCCCAGTGTTTTTTAGGCTTGTTTATAATTAAAAGTCCTGTGTTAAGCATAAAGTTTTTTTCCTGGTTATTATTGGTATATTGGTTACAGAGTAAACTCTCTGGCATTTAACCGAAAGTAAATTTTTGTAGTTTCTGTCTAGGCTGCCATGTCACAGAAAGGAAAGTCTAAGAACATTATTTAACTCGTATTATTAGATTTTACTGGTATCAGCACAATAATCTATTTATAGTTTATACAGTTGGAAGTAGTCCTATAAATAATTACATAATTATTAAAAACAGTCTGATGCAAAATATTTTAAAGCTTAGTGTACTTTTTGTATTCTAATAAATTACATTTATTTACATTTTGCTTGTGAATGTCTCCTTGTTGATTAGAGAGATTGAATAGCTCTAGATGACATAGATGTTTGTTACAGTTGTAATATTTTTTAGCAGTGGCGCTTTACGAGTTTAAGAGATTCTGTGGATGAGCGACATGTTAGACAGACAGCTGTTGCTTCATCCAGTACAAATGATAATGTGTATTATAATACATATTTCCAGTTATATTGACAATTATGAGAGTGGGCTATTCTCAGCTCATAGCAGAATAGAGAAGCTAAAAACATCAGAGTTTCTGAACGCTATAATTCTCAGTTTTTATTATTATATCATATGAAGAATGACGATTATTGTTACTTTGTCAAATATTTGCACACTGGAAAGTAGACACAACAACGTGAATGTGTTGCACTTCTTTACATGCTTACATTTCCCTTATTTTAATGACAAAATGTGATTAAAATATAAATTGCACAATTATTACAGTTATCTCAAATAATTGTGATGAAATCAAATAGCCACATTCAGATGATTAATTGGACTATCTTTAACAACAAATCTCAAGAGATTTACAGAAAGGTTTCAAATCGCTTTCCATTAGTATTATTCCCATTATGAAGTTAACTTTGCACATGTTTGGTTTTTGTCATTGAACAAGAATCATTTTATGCATTTTTGTGCCAGGTGTCAGCGTCACATTCAGCTTTTTTCCATAACTCATAGTGAGTATTGTAATTTTAAGACAACAAGTCCAGTTCAAATTAGTTTTACGCTTCTAAAAAAGAATCTCGAGTTACATTATGCTTTGCACCTGTACATTTACAGGGCTTCCTTGAGACCAACTAGTCATCCAGTGACTTTTATGAAAATGTGTAGTTTTGCACACCCCTAGTACCTTGTTCATTTTCATGCAGGTCCCAAAGTCTGCCAGCTTCAAGTGGCCTGCCTTGTCTAGCAACATGTTGTCAGGCTTTACATCCCTGAGACAAATGTTAAGCAAAAACACACACACATACACAAACACACAGGTTATTTTCAAAATTTCACACACCAGTAGAAACAATGAAAGGCTTGTTTAATGCATGAATGAGACCTGTGAATGAAGCCCATGGAGTGGATGCAGTCCAGTGCCAGCACAACCTCAGAAGTGTAGAAACGAGCCCACTTCTCAGGCACATCGTAGTTGCTCATTAGGTTGACCAGGTCTCCACCAGGCATATACTCCATCACCATGTAGAGGTAGCGGTTGTCCTGGAATGCATAAAACAGCTGGACGACAAAAAAATATAAAATTACATCATACTCAAGAATACAGCAAAATGTTTCAAGAAAAAAAAAATATATATATATATATATAAAAAAACTAAACACAATAAATGGCCACAAAAGCCATAGGATGGCTTTAGTTTTTAAATGTGGTTTTATATTAACGGCAACTAGACATTCACACCCATTCATGACAAATCACACAGCTGATTATAATTAATAATCATAACAAGATAAAACGTTTATCAAGACCAACGTTATGTTGGCTTGAGAAAGCTTGACCAGAAAGTTTGAAGTAGATTTAACAGCTTTAAGTCAGAAAATTAAGTTTGAAGTAGTTACAAGTTTGAGTAAGTAGCAGTTAAAAAAAATTGTTAGCTAGCCAAGTCTGATCAGTTAGAAAAGGTACAGCAAACTAGTGTGGTCACGGTACCGAATACTGAAATTTTGGTGAAAATCCACGGTTCTCGGTACCAATTTCGGTACCAAAGCAAAACACAAAAACATGCTAATTAAAAAAATTTGACAATACTTTCATTTAATCCAAACTGTGTACATATTTATTTTTAAAAGGCCGTGTGTCTTTGTGCCTCACCTACCGAACAAAGAGAGAGGGAACACGTTATTCACTTTACTTTCACTGCACTATGACATTCAAATAAAGTAAACAGTACAGAATATAACACTCGTATAACTACTACTGTATTCACACTAAGAAAGGCAAGCGCATTATTTAGCAGAAATTGAATAGAAATGATGATTCTTTCTAAAGAAATATGGAGTAAACATATATGAACGCAGCATTATTTCTCCAAATCTGCACACGTTTGGACTAAATGCCCTAAATGTCTAGTGAAGCCCTGTGATCACAAATAAACCGGAGCATACACGATTGAATATGTATGCGTCTCATTGCTCTATTCGAAATATCAATTGATTTTGCACTCCTGATAGAAATTAGCAAATAGCTGTCACTGTAACAGATTTGATGATAAACAGTCCTAAAGCTAGAGTCCTAAATCACTGATACACAATGATACACAGTTTGTCAATATTAAATAAGAAAGTCTTGGTAACAGCGTTCCTTCTCAATACACTCTATATGGTGCTCTTCATGGTGAACAGCGTCACGTAGTTTTAGAAACACATCTATTATGGTGCTATTTAAAAAATGCATATCATAAACTAAATTAAAACCAATATGCCGGATCAAGTGATATACCGTCTAGCACTAATATACTATGATTATTTGCTATTTTCCATTGTTTTTCTATGTAAACGTGCTAGACGGACGTGTACAACCGGCGTTGCGCTCACATCTTGCATCTTTTGCAGCATCGTACACACGAGCGCCATGTTTTTAAGACGCCGTGTCGAGGTAAAAGAATTTCGACTTTTATACGCAGCGCCACTCATCAATGTCAGTTCCAAAACAGTGGACCAATCAGAAGACCCCGGAGGCGGGGCAAGCATTGCAAGCTTTTGTTGACAGTATCTATTTGGCATGGCAATGGTTTTATTTGACGCCAACATGACGGAGGTGGCATTCTGCGCGGTGCATTTTTAAACCACTCCTTAGCATTGCGTCTCGCGCTCTTAGGCGGGTTCTGTGTGAACGGCACCTTACTGTGCAAACGCTAATGGGAGGCGTTGATCTTCTTCTGCGGAGGCGGGGCTTAGCCGCACTATTACATCATAAAGTGGCACATTCCAAAACGAGCCGTTTTCTGAGACTGGATACAATAAAAGCTGTTTTTAGACTAACGAGAAAGTTTTGAGTTTTGAAACTTACAGGATGCTTTTATAGTACATTGACCTGTTATATGTGAAAACGTCAGTTCATGACCCCTTTAATGTCTTATTCTGCATGACCATATTCTAGATCCCTTAATCTCTACCCCATACCTAAACGTAACAACTACCTTACTAACTATTAATAAGCAGCAAATTAGGAGTTTATTGAGGCAGAAGTCATAGTTAATAGCTAGTTAATAGTGAGAATTGGTCCCCACACTAAAGTGTGACCAAAAAAATACAAATCTAGGTGATGGTATATATTCTAAAAGTGGAAGTAACAGCAGCACAAATGACAACAATACCCAATACACTTACCAGCTGTACTTCTCCAAATGCCCCTCGTCCTATGACCTTTACCACTTCATAGTCCTCTGCTTTCATACGAAGCTTCCGAATTTTGCTGATTGTGTCCTTATCTAGAAACAAAAACACATATGCACAATATCAGACAAACATCTGCATATTGTTAAGAATCCATTTCTCCAAATCTGCACACGTTTGGACTAAATGCCCTAAATGTCTAGTGAAGCCCTGTGATCACAAATAAACCGGAGCATACACGATTAAATATGTATGCGTCTCATTGCTCTATTCGAAATATCAATTGATTTTGCACTCCTGATAGAAATTAGCAAATAGCTGTCACTGTAACAGATTTGATGATAAACAGTCCTAAAGCTAGAGTCCTAAATCACTGATACACAATGATACACAGTTTGTCAATATTAAATAAGAAAGTCTTGGTAACAGCGTTCCTTCTCAATACACTCTATATGGTGCTCTTCATGGTGAACAGCGTCACGTAGTTTTAGAAACACATCTATTATGGTGCTATTTAAAAAATGCATATCATAAACTAAATTAAAACCAATATGCCGGATCAAGTGATATACCGTCTAGCACTAATATACTATGATTATTTGCTATTTTCCATTGTTTTTCTATGTAAACGTGCTAGACGGACGTGTACAACCGGCGTTGCGCTCACATCTTGCATCTTTTGCAGCATCGTACACACGAGCGCCATGTTTTTAAGACGCCGTGTCGAGGTAAAAGAATTTCGACTTTTATACGCAGCGCCACTCATCAATGTCAGTTCCAAAACAGTGGACCAATCAGAAGACCCCGGAGGCGGGGCAAGCATTGCAAGCTTTTGTTGACAGTATCTATTTGGCATGGCAATGGTTTTATTTGACGCCAACATGACGGAGGTGGCATTCTGCGCGGTGGATTTTTAAACCACTCCTTAGCATTGCGTCTCGCGCTCTTAGGCGGGTTCTGTGTGAACGGCACCTTACTGTGCAAACGCTAATGGGAGGCGTTGATCTTCTCCAGGCTTAGCCGCACTATTACATCATAAAGTGGCACATTCCAAAACGAGCCGTTTTCTGAGACTGGATACAATAAAAGCTGTTTTTAGACTAACGAGAAAGTTTTGAGTTTTGAAACTTACAGGATGCTTTTATAGTACATTGACCTGTTATATGTGAAAACGTCAGTTCATGACCCCTTTAATGTCTTATTCTGCATGACCATATTCTAGATCCCTTAATCTCTACCCCATACCTAAACGTAACAACTACCGTACTAACTATTAATAAGCAGCAAATTAGGAGTTTATTGAGGCAGAAGTCATAGTTAATAGCTAGTTAATAGTGAGAATTGGTCCCCACACTAAAGTGTGACCAAAAAAATACAAATCTAGGTGATGGTATATATTCTAAAAGTGGAAGTAACAGCAGCACAAATGACAACAATACCCAATACACTTACCAGCTGTACTTCTCCAAATGTAAGCAGCAAATTAGGAGTTTATTGAGGCAGAAGTCATAGTTAATAGCTAGTTAATAGTGAGAATTGGTCCCCACACTAAAGTGTGACCAAAAAAATACAAATCTAGGTGATGGTATATATTCTAAAAGTGGAAGTAACAGCAGCACAAATGACAACAATACCCAATACACTTACCAGCTGTACTTCTCCAAATGCCCCTCGTCCTATGACCTTTACCACTTCATAGTCCTCTGCTTTCATACGAAGCTTCCGAATTTTGCTGATTGTGTCCTTATCTAGAAACAAAAACACATATGCACAATATCAGACAAACATCTGCATATTGTTAAGAATCCATTGGGCAGCATATAAGATTTGCCACTTTGAGGCTCACACCTGTAACTAAATGCAGGTGTCAATCTCAAAAGCTGACGGTGTGAACATAGCCTAAGACAACCTCGCTGAGGGCCCTAGAGGCTTTATCTAACATCCAGCGCTGCTTCCCGAGGGGACAGATAACATTCGGCCAGATTTGGTCTTCGCTGAGCAACAGGGATTCTTTATTATCTAAATGTATTAATTTGTGATTTGAAAAATACTTGAAAAATACTTTTTTATATAAATAAATGGTATAAAAATGTAATAAAGTAGCAAGTATAAAATTTAATAAAGTAATTTTAAAAAGTAAACCATTAAAAGGTGTTCAATAACATCTTAACATCATCTTCACTATTGAAATTTGTGTTTCTTAAAATTGCAGAGATTTTAAAAAAATTATAATAATTATAATAATGGAAACAGAAAAATTCACAAAAATCAGATGTAACAACTCTAAGATTATGCTTGTTTTCTGTTCTAATGCTCTCACTCTTGCAAACTGCAAAGCAAGGAGGAAAACAATTAAATGACATGCTCTTTAAGAAACGTCTTGGCATTAAAATAATTGTGCTATTCATAATGTAGCTAAATATTAGGGTTGCAAAAAGGTGGAAAATTTCCAGTAAATTTGGGAAACATTCCAGGATCCTTTGGAATATTCCAGGGATTTTTGGAAAGTTTCCGGAAATTTTCCACCCCTTTGCATCCCTTCTAAATATATCAAACAAAATCATGGCAATATGACTGTTGATTATATATTTTGCTCAGCCCTAGTTCCAAAGCATTGACAAGAATGAGACATTTAATTTTAACACGTAGGCCTGTTTTTGGCTGTGTTTAGACTGCAAGGCTTAACGCATGGATTCAATCTTTTGAACATAAGATAATATAACAATATAAAAGAATTACAAATGACTCATGGTGCATTCTTCTGAAGCCATACAATATCTTTTTGTTAGGAACAAGTAACAGTGTAATGCAAATAAAATGATTGTGGCTGTTCAAATTGACATTTATACCCCAACAAACACGCTATAATGACCAAATGATAATACATG